GAAAATGGAACAGATACGTTCCATGTATAGAATATACATATTTAAATCAAAATTTAGAACAAAAATTTTAAAAAATATACAAGAGAAACGGAATAAAATATAAAAATAACACAAAATAAAATTAAAATATACAAGAGAAAATATAAAAATAACACAAAATAAACTAAAAAATAATAAATCTTCCAATAAACTAATTCTAGCTTGAGTTTTCAGTGAACTTTTTAATCATGTATTTCCACGCCGACGACAGGCTCTCAGCATCTCTCGCATTTAAACATCCCTCACGTAGCCTACTCCTATATATTTCAATCTTCTCCGCCGTCATTGATAAAGTGGGGGAAGATACAGGTTTTATAATTGTTGCCTCGTCCCATTTCACCACCAAACCTTGGACTTGCGACATTTGCGACAAAACTAGCATTGGATCCTTTTTTTACGTTATAACGATGCTCTTTCAGTCTTACTCCTAAGCTCCTGTTGGTGATGCCGATGTAGTCTTTCTTAACATCTAGTTGGATGTTCTCATAAGGAACTTTATAGACACCTGGTTTTTCTTCTGTTTTTATTCTATCTTTATCATTCCTCAATATCTTATATAAATTTGGGGCTCTTTTTAAAACCATTCTTGCTTGTTTCCTATTAGCAACTTCTTTCATAATACTGTTCAAATTACTATTATATGTAAACTTCAAGCACCTATCGGGAGCGGTATTTAAGCTTTTTCTCTCTTTGTTCCTTTCATATTTTTTGAGTAATCCTACAATGGTGCTTTTCTTGTAACCTAGGGTCTGGGCTACTTGCAATATTCTATCAATTTCTTTATTCCTGTCACCGATTCTATCACAATACAAATAAGCTCTTCTTATCAAAGTTTGAAATGCGGCCATTTTATATCGATATTGATCCATGGACTGTGCTGTATACTCAGCAACAAATTAAGGTGTTTTATTTTGTGTTTACTTGCTGAGCACTTTTAATGTTATCATCAATATAGATTAATCTCAAAGTAATTACATTAAGCAGATTTTACTATATTTAAAATTTAAAATTTGATTTTTCATACAATAATAAAATAAGTCTTTGTAAGCATCTATTTTTTGAAATAATATTTATTTATTTTATCAGAAGAAAAATATACATTTTGGCTTTTTTCACAATTCTTCAATTTTTCTAGAGATAGAAATAAACACTGTAATGTTTGTTAGTTGATATAACTTCATTCAACAAAATATTTCTGTATTATTGCTGAACTATTTCCAGTGATGCTTTTAAACCAGAATATACAGTATCTCTTCTCAGATAACCAAGAAAATACATTCTGGGAGTTTTTCTTAGATACTGTTTATATTTTGAAAATTTAAAACAATTTTAACTAAAATAAGATAAACAAATAAAAATACATTATAAATATTATTATTCATAGCACTAGTGCTGTACTGAGGTCAGGCATAGCTAAAGAAAAAGCTGTTATTTTGTTTATATGATGTTTGTGTATTATCTGTTTAAGAATTTCTTGACTATAGGACATATGTTTAGTATGACTGCTTTCTGTAATGTAATATATGCACTGTTGTTAAGGGCTAATGTTTCTAGACTTGTGTAGTATGAAAACTGTGCAAGAAAAGACTATAGGCACAATCAGTATCCCCATTCATTTTCCACAGGCATTTTATTTCATAATTAAGTCTGCATATTTACGAATATGCAGACTTAATTCGGGTTCAAGGCTAGGCAGAACCAGAGAAGACTCAAGGAATCTCCTTGAAAAATTCCTCACCTAATGAATATTTGGTTTGTATATTTTGTTTGTGATACAGGATGTCAATAATTTGTAGAGTGTTGGAAGACATGTAATTGATCTATATTGTGTGGGGTGTGTGGTGTTGTTTTTGGGTTTCATGTAGGTGATGCCCTGAGTAAGAAATTTTGGCATGTCTTGTGGATTGATGATGATGTTTGACTAGTTCTTGGTGCAGTGACGTAAACTTTTTGTACCAGATATTGTGAATGTTGTCTACACCAGATGTCTTTCAGTTGTGTGTTCTGTTAACAGTGTAGCGGATGTCGTGTACGTTTATTTCAGCACAGGGCATAGTTGGTATGTTGTGCAAGTTTCTGTTCTCCTCCTCGATCCAGCTTCCATCAGCATTGTGTGTAACAGCATTGGACCAAAAAGAAGACCAATAAGTTGTGAGTTCTTCTTCTGTTGGTGTGTGTTAAGATTCATCATATTTTTGTAGGCTGCGCTTAAGTCAAGCGCCACCTGTGTTTTTTTTTTGTATAGAAATCCAAGTCAGATATGCGTAAGCAATAAAACGTTCTTGTTGATTAATCCCGCCATTTTTTCTTGATTCATTCACGGATACACGAAAGTACAACAGGTTATGGGCCCAGGACCCGTGAATGAATCGCGACAGTCGAATTTGTCTAAGAGAAAGGAAAAGGTATAAATTGAGAACAGCAAGTTGTGTCAAGACACGTGTCAGCCATACCTTCGTTCATCGTCTGCAGTCGCCATCTTTGACGAGCTTCAATCGTCGGTCAACCTCGTCAGTGTTTGTAAATAATCGTGAATTGTTACCCATCATCACCGTAAGTGTATTTAGATAAGATATAGAACTAATTAAGTCAGTAAATTATTTAGTCTGTCAATATGGATATCGTAAAATCTCAAATGGAAACTTTGTCAGAAGATTCGCAGGGAAATATTAATTATATTTCATGGAAGTTTAAACTAAATCTTACATTGAGATCGAAGGATTTATATGACATCGTGAATGGAATTATTCTTAAACCTGAAGATGTGAATAATGCGGCAGGTGTCGCAGCGTGGATTAAGAAGGATTTAGACGCTCAAGCTTGTATAGGTTTAAATGTGAGCAGTAATATCGCAAAGAAAATTGCAAATTGCACTTCTGCGTATAGTATGATACACAAATTAGAAACCTTGTACGGTAAAAGGTCCGATCTCACAATT